TGTAGCATCTTTTGAGGTTAGATTATCAAATTGCTTATTTCTTAATTCAGATGGTCCTTATTTTATGAAGACAGTTAACCTTTTCAGAGAAAATACGGCCGCAGCTATTGTAAAATATTACAAACAATACCAACGTACGTATAAGCGGTTTATGTTAAGTTTTTTGATGTTGACAACTCGTACTGTATATGTTTGAATGTTGGTTATTATGTACCTCCAAAACGACTCAATGGATCTCTATCAAATTTGACACACAATATGGAAAAACACAAAGGTTACTAAGTTTATCTTTTAATTTAGCGCGGTTAAGTCGCGGGCAAAAACTAATTCTAGTGATAGAGTCCTTGATTATCTGTAAAATATCACGATTGTCCATACTATGCACTAAGCACGTATGTTCATACATTTCCGGCATCCGGATTATAAAGCTCCGTCGAAAGTTCAAATTTAATTGACATTAATGTCACTTCCACATTGCTTTGGTTGCGCTTTCAATTTAAAACAAAAATCTTTATTAAGCTCAATTAAGCTTTGTTTTTAAAATCCCGAATACCTCGTGCGCGAAGGCTTTTATGGGAGTAAAAATTTATTGTTTTATTTGCAGAATACCTTCATTTATTTTCCCAGAGTCTTGGTATAGGGCTATATTTGATAATTTTTAAGACAGAAAAGGCATCGGAATGCGAATCTGCCGCTGAATATGGCATACTGAGTTTTATCGAGCGATATTTCAGGTATTCGATTGCATACTTCTAAGTAATTGGATCTATTTCAGAATTAAGCTTAAATAACATTATTCAGACAAATCAAAAAGATGTTTACGTTTTTCAAGAGAAATTGTTAAGTAGACTTGATAAGTGTTTTTAACATTTTTTATAACAAGTTTAAGCATTATTTATTATTCATACTTTTAATGGGACCGGTATTTAAATGTTATATTTTACCAAGTTTTTTTTAAATTATTTTCTTACAAATATTAAGTTAGTATTCATTTATATCAAGGCTTTAGGGATTTATTAATGGTTTAATTAATTTATTAAAATATCCCCTTTTTTAACAAGATCAGCGACCCGCCCCGTCTTCGCGTGGATGGAAAATGTGATTATTCATGACATCATATTAGAAACCTCTAAAATTATCTGTTTTACTATATTATATACGTACAAAACTTTTTCTTGAATTAATATAATGTTAATTAAAAAAGCTTCATTCAAATCCATTGGGCAGTTTAAAGATCTAAGCATGCACTCGGAACGACACCGGGGACGTATTGTTTTATATTATTATCCTACTAGCTTTCGCCTGCGACTCCATCCGTGTGGTATTAAAAAAGTAAGTAACCTATGTGTTCTTCCAGACTATGCCAAATTTAATCCAGAACCGTTCAACTGTTTAGGCTTCAAACTCTAACAAACATCCATCCATCCATCTAAACTTTCGCATTTATAATATTAGTAAGAGTAAGAAGTAAGATAAGTAACTATGTAAAGGCAGTATTATGTTATAAAGCGACGAAATACTGTTTTGCAACACATGATGTAACTTTTTACTTCATGTATGTGTTTATCTAAAGAGATGACATCAAAATACCTAAAAAAATAATTGCCAATTTTTTTACTATGTAGATTTGGATTTAGAATGCGGATCTGTTAAGCTTTTTTTTGGCACATAATATAATAGAAAAGTTGATCTTGTAATGATTGCTTTGATAGGATTTATTACAAAGCAATTTTAATATCAAATGCTAGTTCCGTAAATACGTTTGCCTTCTAAGAATTACATTGACATGTGTTTATTAATCAATACTATTATAATAAAGCGTAAACACACACTTCTTTGTTGCCTAAGATGTCAGCAATTACAGCATATTTTTGAATAATTCTTTCTTTAATAAAAAGCCCCACACTCACGTCACGCTTTAGGCTATATATTTTCACACCATTAAACTTATGGGGTAAATATTTTGAATAAAAACCCTAATGTGGGAAAGAGACCATAAGTTGCTGCCAACATCAAGGAAGCAAGAATGCCAAGGTTTGGAATGTCATTTCATTTTGATATTTGATATTAATAATTTCACTAATGTGAACTATAAAATAAAATTTTCATATTTTCATGCGGATGAAGCCGCACGGGAACAGCTAGTGTTTAGTTAATAATGTAAATATTTATTTATTGATTTATGTCTTTCGATGTAATTCATAATCTTTCCTGGTGATGCTTATTTTAGTGCGAAATACTTGTTCATACTTATTTGAAATTTAATGTTTATCCGGCGCTGAAAAATTAGAGCCAAAAATATTACCAACTAGAGAATTTTTTATAGATGTTATTGATAGTTTCGAGTAGACTATCCAGAATTATAAAAATCCTTGCTTTCACATTAACCTATCGGCTTTATTACATTAATTACTAATACGCGCTAAGTAATAATTTTGATATTTGTCCCAATTATTGCGAAGATTTATTATATTTATGGGTGAATTATATTGATATTTTGTTTATCATAAACATGTTTAAAATATCTGCCCGTATTCATAACCGTTTCTTAAAAAAAGGCATCTATAAATCACTGAAGGTCCCTTTGTGCGAATGCATAAGCAAAAACAATTACCACGACATAAGTGTCGTGCCAATTGCGGCAACACAAGGAAGCAACTTCTCGACTTTATTATTAATAATTGTTGCCACCCGTGTTATATCTTTGTTGTTAAACAGTGGCAACTGTTAATTACCTTTTTTGTTTTATGGCGTTTTTTTTATTTTTAGCAGCTAATTGCAGTTTTAATAACAATAAAAATTTCGTCGTCAAAGCAATTTTTATCGCACCTTTCTTCGTAGACTTTTATATCAGAAATGAAATGTGTATATACTATTACTAGATGAGTTAAATCATGTTATGATTTTAGACATTTCGGAGTTAATATGAGATATATACGTGTTTTAAGTAAATGTTTCGTTAGTGCGAATATTTAATTTACTTAGCGGGTAAAAAAACCGAATGAATACTGCTAGTTTGAAATAATAACCTCTTTGATATTATACGATTATCTCGCAAAGGATGTAAGGATGCCTCATTATAAGAAACGACATAAAGCCATACATTTATTAATGTATAACTTCATTGATAACAATCCGGTTTAGTAATTGTTAGTACTTCATTTGTTATGCGCGCTTGTCTTTTGTTGTCGCGTAAACGGTAATAGATTTTGCTTCATCACCGTAATTGTTTAATAATATAGTAGCAATACAATGGCCCTTGAAACTATTGTTTTCTTAATTTAGTTAATTGTATTGACAATCTTCAAACAAATCAATGTTATTACTTTAATTATGAGCTCTAATTTTTACACAAATCACTTTCGCATATAAAAATAGGCAGTAATAGGCAGCGGTTTGCTTCATCTTAAGATTTTACAATATGCTTTAAGTAAAAAATGATCTATTTACCTATACCCAAACCCCGAACTTTGAACAAGATAGTCCGTTCGTCATGTCATTAATTCTTGATAATTAAAGATTACAGATTTTCGTTACATTTTCTAGTTTTATTTCGTGTACAAAACTTTGATAACCTTAGATGCTTTCAGTTGCTAACTCAAAACAGAGGAAATAAAAAAAACTCTATTACTTGTATTATTGTAACTACCAACTGTTATTATTTTTAGTTTTAATTGTATCATATGACTCAATATTGCCACTTCCTTCTTATTGTTTGTCATAATAGAGTTCACAAAAATTCTCACTCGGTCAACCTCGTGCGACGCTAAAAGCTCGAGGTCATAGTCAAGGATCTGTGGCAGAAAACCGTTAGTCCGACGAGAATCCTCGCCGATATCGTAAACATGGCGCCTCGATTGTGACGTCACAATGCAATCGATACAACTTTATAAATAACCGTAACAACTTTCCATACAAATTGATTGTAGGAAGAAAGTGAGATGACTTGAACAATACCATTCAATGTCAAATGTAACAGTTGTAAGGCCGATTATATTTTTATTGTGTCACAATCTCACAATGCCTACGCATTTATTTAGCGCATAAATAAAATAAGTGCGCACGCGCCGCGTCGCGCCGCTCGCTTGAAAGTTCGTCTGTCTGCAGGTACCGCACTCACGGCGAGCAGGTCCCTCGACCTTGGGACCTGCACTGCGGATATTTCATTTGTTCATTTTTTCTCCATTTTTTCCGCAAACTTGAGTTACACTATTTTGTTTTGAACTCTCGTCAGCATCAGCATAATAATATAACAAACATTGATGCTTTTTCATAATTTCGATAACAAATTAATCATTAAAATTAACTATGTTATTATTGTTTACTGTAGTAGGGTAAAACAATCGATTGACGTCAACGTTTATTGGTTCCGATTAACTCGCCGCTAGAAAGATACGTTTCCACGTCGAGATGATAATGAGGATCGGGCATCGAACGCGGTATTATCCTCGGGAGGGCAATAGGTGCGGCGATAGCGAGGGCTGGTGGCCGAGGCCGGGCCCGGAGTGGTGGTACTCGCTCGCACGCTGTTCAGTGTACAACCGAGCGCCGCAACAGTTGCGCGCGCGCACGACCGCCCGACAGCCCATACGAGTCGCCCGCAGTGCGATCGCCGCGGAACACCGAACAGTGATGATACGTCTAGCGCGTAAACATGAGCGCTTGACGCATTGGAAAGTCTAATCGTGATGCAGTCCAGCCGCAAGCATTGACACTCGCAGACGGAGCGGCGCCGTCGCCAATGGACCCGACCCCCCGCGCCCGGATCTCGCCGGTGTCCAAGGAGATAACGTGATGTGACAACGATACGTGTCCGAGTGTCAGTGGAATAGTTTTGTGAAAGTGTGCAGCGGCCGCGCGGGCCAGCCCGCCCCGTCACCATGTTGAACTGCACCGACCTGGAGTGCATCCTGCACCACCACCACTACTACGCTCATCTGCATCACATACACCACCTGCAAAATGCGCAGGAATCAGGTAACTTAAACAATATATATTACCCACTGTTTTTACTTAAATAGACACCTCAAAACATTATCAAAGATTGATAACTTCCAATCTGTTATCGCTTGAGCTAAGAATTTGTTGAAGACATATGAATCCAATTGTCATATAATATGAACAAGAATGATACAAAGAATAAAGAAAAATGTTTTAGGCCATTCTCAAAATAAGTCGATAAATTCAAGAGCCATGTTTTCGTTATCGGATATACAGTTGACGACCGTGACCTTTCCGAACAATGAAAACATGAGAGCGATTATTGTCGAAAAGTTTAATAGATCGAAGTGCGATGTACACGTAAAGTGGGCAGGTGTCTGAGAACATCACGCAACACGCCGACACGCCGACACACCGGCACACCGGCGGCTGACGCGACTCGTTTTCACTGTATCGGTCGGAACAGCACCGGCTGGCGGATCGGTGCGAAATCGATGCAATATTTGTACAAGCAAAAATCAACGTAAAATGTTTTCCTTTTCGTATCTTCGCATGTGATCACTACACACATTTGTTTACATAGCCGTCTGCTACTTCACGTAAAATTTTATTATGGGAATTTAGGAAACAGCCTGAAATTTTCTGATTATTCGATAACGTTTGTTCGATATGAGATAATGCACATTTTAGTAATTGGTTCTAAGCAGGTCGCGTTTCTTAATATTACCTTATTGTCTAGACCATACTTTTGCATCCCATTTTAATGTCTTACATTTTGCTTAAGGGTCTTTTGTGAATGCTTAGCCAAGATTCTCAAATAAGATTGGCGGGTTGTACTTACAGCTTTGTATTTCGCAGTATTTGAGAAACGTTATTCATATTACTTCGCTTTGCGCCTAATTCCTTCGTATCAACGTCATTTATTACAACGAGAAATCGACACACGCAAGAAAGTCTTGACATTATCATTGATTTATTGTTATTTTGTGGTAATGACTAGAATCTTATGACAATGGCATTATTACTTTAACCTGACCTAAACAGCATTTGCGAAACTTTGTAGCAACAGTTAATTAAAATTAATTTGTCACATATTCCATAACTATTCTTAAGAAAAGGGAATAATAAGTTTATTTAATCTAAATTCCTCTACTAAGATACATAGCTCAAATGTATGACAGCGGTATAGCCCGCGGCATAAAATATTGCTCCACCTACCCAATGCCAAGAACAAACAGAAGTCAAGCTTGAAATGGTAGCACCACTGCGTTTCACCCGATACTTCCCTTCTTTGTCCTGAGAAATGGACCGGGGAGAGAACGAGGAACAGAATACATTTCTCGTTTATCAACGGACTACATGTCCCACTTGCTGTTGCTGATGTCTATGGGCGACTTAACACTAATAAAGTTGCCAGTTATCTAAAAAGCAAAAAGTTGAAAATTACAAAAATAATTATCATAGATTAAGTAGGTACTGAAAGTAAAATAAGGCAAAGACAAACGTGTGTTAAGAAAATGAGAATGTTGTTTAACTTTCAATAATCATTGTTTTATCTATTGTTTTTCTTTTTAATAATAGTTAATGGAACGATAATAAAGCCATTCAGACAGCGGTCAGGAGGACGCAATTCAATAACAAAAACAAACATTCAGCGCAGTTGGTTGGTATTGAAAAAGTTCTTTGTTAATATCGCATATGAAATTGAATTTTTAACACTCTATATTCACACATTTATAAAATTAATACTCATGGTAATAAAAAAAGATATTTTGTAAAAAAAAGCAACTGAAAAAGTCAACTTCAACTAGATAAGTCGAAATCTATAACATAATATTTGTCGCCGTAGAAAAAGAAAACCAATAAACAGAACTGAAACATAATTTTAATAACATTGCCCTATTTCGGCAAAATCTCCTCTCTCATCTCCTAGTAACAGCGGTTAGCTACCCTTATCTTAATTCATAAAATTACATGTTTTACAAATTAATTGTCGTAAGCAACACTCGATATGTGACGCAACCGAATGCTGATTATTCTATGTTTAATAACTTGATCGTCTTCAGGCGACCAGCAATGCTTTTGTTATTTTTAATTCTACGGAAAAGGTACTCCATTAACGCTGCTTCAATAAAACCATAGTACGATTCTTTTTACTTAAAATGTCTATGATTGTTACTTTAATAAAATAAAAGTGCGTTATAATATTCTTGTAATATTCCGTAAACGCAGTACGCACGTAGATGTCTTGGCTCTGCTTGTGAATGTCAACGATAAGATAAATTCTCTCACAAAAATGTCAAGAGAATATACGTGTTGCTATAAATAGAAACATAATATGTGATTGCGATACGATTTTACTTAGATACGTGAATTAAATCTTTCCTAACACCATGATAGACAATAAACAATTGATGGAGACAAGTTAATTAAAATTTACGTGACATGTGTGTGTGACATCAATTTGTGTTGAATTATAAATTAATTTAGATAGACGAAACACCGAATCCGATATAAATAGGAATTTATACCAGCAACTAGATTACTCTTCTTTCATTGGTAAAGCCAGTTTTTATGTGCTAGAGCCCCCATCTTTTGCACGAATGGGCCAGCTCGACCTGTGCAATATTTGGGCAATACAGAAGACTTAGGGTAGTGGAAGCAATTATGTATTTCGTCTGATGAATGTGTGTGCGGCCTAATTTTAGTCAATTTACCCTACAGCTAGAGGAAGTGCATTTGGCGGAGGAGAGAACGAATAGGGGAAATATCCTTTATGTGCGTTCTCTCCCGGACTGACAACGAGGTAACGCATCTGCAATTGCAGTTACCTATGGGCAACAGTCGCTTCGATATTTCGGCGAATCTAAGTGGTTCTCTGCTTGCATTATGCAACAATGTACCTTATACTCTTCGTAGAATATCCGACGCCAGTTCTTTATTTGGCTGGAGCCGGGGAAGTGTACGATTATCGCATTGTTGTATTAACTATTGCCAATAAGGAAACTGTTTACCGCCTCTCCGGTATCGTTTGAATTGGCCACGATTACAGAAATTGTAAATAACCTCAGATGTGGAACACTCGACATGACTTCTTAAGACGAACTTTATTGACATCTTCGATGCGTAATTATCCATTTTAAGCTTAAGGCTACTCGAAATAAGGTTTATTTTTGAATGACTAACAGTGTTCCAGTTAAATAACGATCAGCAATGCCAAAGGCTAATTCGCTGTTTATATGATTAGAGTCTTAATTGAATTTAATTAGAATACATAGGTACTTCGTGTTGTTCATACTTTGTGTTGCATATAATGACGTTGCTTTTAGAGATTTTGGAGTAAAGAACTTTACAGTAATATTTTAATTTTATTTAATTAAATTACTCCATGAGGGAAGTGTTTTAAAAAAGGTTATTTATCTAATTGTAACGCAAATGTTTTTAGACGTTTTTAAAACGATCAAAGGCCAAAGAAACTAAATTTTGTGATAAGAATATACTTACATATCATTTAGAGAATATGTAATAAAATTTAGTATAGGAACAGGATGTAATTAAAAACCAAGGCAGATATCGACGTATAATTTATTTTAAACCAAATTAATTGAAACTAAGTACACGTATCTTATGTATTTTTAACGAGAAATATAAAAATACATATAAATTTTTAATTTATTCGAAATTGGTATTCAGTTGTGAGTTTAATTATTCCATTTGAATAAAATATAAACGAGAGTTCAATAACTTGTTATCTTGTACATTATGATGTTCTTACTTGCAATGTCGATATGTGCACGTAAATTCTATGTTTATTCATGAATTCAAAGTATTTGCCTTTCTGTATTCTCGATAAACTGTGTTCACCACGATTTCCTAGTTACTTTTATAGTCATACTGTGGATTTAAATTGTTTTAGTATAAAATAAATTATGCAAACCATTAGTTGAATCTTTGGTAAAGATTACCTACTACCAATTATGTCTCGCAAACGCAATCAATAAAAAATATGTCAAAGTTCACTTATAAAGAAAAAATGAATAGTTATCTTCATATTGTTTTAATATAATTCATCATAGTTAAATATTATTTCTGTGAAATATACAATGGAGATATGTGTCGCATGCTTGATGAATTCCTAAAATTTTAAGGTGGATTTCACACACAAAACCATTTAAATCCACTATCTCTTTACTAACTTAACGACATCGCAACACATCCAACGGACGGATGTTTCTTCTGCAACTCCTTTACGAAGATGTTTCTATGATACATCATAGGGATCTGAGACTGATAATAGACACACATAGCATAGAAATCCACCTTAAGATATACAATATAACAAGTTTTGTTTTCTCACAATAATTTGCATATGCCGCGAACACGCAAGGCCGTGTTACCTAAGTTTACGAACGTTCTTACAAAATCATTAGGCACGGAAAAGACACAAAATTAATTACAACTCTAACTTGATATTTGAAAATTGTGAAAATGTGTTGCCAATATCACCTAAGCCTAAAATTAATAAAAGAGAATGTAAAAAAAAATTGTTAGTGACAGAATAAAGATCTTGTATGTTTGTGTAAATAGTCACGAGTTTAACACGCACATCACTATTTAGTAAATATAAAGACTATAAAATAATTAATTAAAGTAGAGTTTATTTCTCCACTTACTCAGAAACGGTTGTATTAAGATGTTCCTCAAAATAAGTTTATTTCAACCAATCAAGACAAGTATACCTAGTTACATTAATTAATGATTTGAAAATTAATTAATTCAAAATGAGGGAACTAGACATTACTTTCATAAATCTTTGGGTGGAATTATAATTATAGTTTTTAAATGAATTAATAATACTTAGAAAACAAGATCTTTCTAGAATACATTAAGATGTGAACAACCGACTTACGTTATTTGCTCACTATATCCTTGATTTCGTTTATTTTATTAGTTTTTTGCAATAAATTTGCATATATTTATAAAATTACTGAACGGATCACATAAAACACGTTCCTTTTATTATTCCATATCAGATA